CTGTTCACCTTCCTTCACTGTCACTGGGCGAGGCGACAGAGGGAAATGCTCAGGGAGGACATTCACCCTTTTCATTTTTCCTTTCAAGCTGTTTTTGAACAACAATGTGAAAGCACTTAGGCTGCTGTGGATTGTTAACAAGCACGTTTGCACGTCACATCTATTATGCTATTTGCACGAAGTTATGTGAAGAAACAGCTCGAAGTATTTATAAGATATAGCCTTTTATCTCTGGAAACACTAGAAAGTATTTGCAGATCGGCTTCGAGAATCAAATTAGCCTGGCACATTGGCGAGTTCCTAGAGGCGTGGACATTTCTGTAAGTGGTTTCTGGCCCCTTAATCCTTTTGATCATTTGCACTGTGTATTTTTACACAGGCTCTTCTACTTTGGAGAAATAAAATAAAGAAACTTAAAGGTGAATTTGACGAAGGCTTCTCTGCACTGTTTGTTAATGCAGATGGATCTTGAATTTTAATGGTAATAGTTTCTTTTAAACAACCAAGCTTTTTAAGACCGCTCCACAAATAATGTTAGTGCTCAGACGATGTCTGAAAAGTGTTTGCTGGTGAGTGGCTATCTTTCCTGACCCCTTATTGCTGCCACAAAAGAAGGACCTTATCCTGGAAAGCAGTTTTGACAGCCTGGATGTCAATTACCCCACAGCTGTGATTTCTCATCTGAGCCATTGCCTATGTTATATTTTCTGTCACTGGGTGACATCAGGTGTCTACATTCAGGAACCTGGCTCAGGGTCATAGGCTGAGCCCAAGCTTCACCTCCCGTGTAAACGTAGTTGGCTCTTCACTGGATCCTGTCACTTGCTGGCTGTGACACATTGTGTGAGGACTCTTGTGGAGAGGTCTTAGTTTCCTCATCTGCAAAATGGAGACTTTTTGTATCTCTCTTGTAAATCTCTTGTGAGCAATAGTTGTACACCCACATTCATAGCAGCTTTATTCACAATAGCTGAAAGGTGGAAGCAACCCAGGTATCCACCGATGGGTGAATAAACCAGATGTGGTATACACATACAATGGAATATTATTTAGCCTTTAAAAAGGAAGGAAATTCTGACACATGCTTCAACATTGGACAAACCTTGAGGACATTATGCTAAGTCAGTAATTTTCAACTGGTGGACTGCAAGAATTTTTAAAACATGCAATATCTGACTATTTAGTCAGGGGCACTGACCTCTTTTCTCTCAGACTGTCAAATAAACACATGACAACAGCCAACACAACAATAGCCATCTGGTGTGAATGAATCAGAATTATACCCACTTTTTGGTAGATCAGCAAAAAAATACAATGTACTTTTTGGTGTGCCCCAGAATTTCAGTAATTAGTTTATGTGTGCCATGAGATGAAAAAGGTTGGAAATCACTGTGTTAAGTGAAATAAGCCAGCTGCCTCCTCCCCCCAAAATACTATATGATTCCACTTAAATGAAGTACCAAGGGTAGTCGAATTCAAGAGACAGAAATAGAAAGGTGGTTGCCTGGAGCTCGGGGTGGGGAGGGAAATGGGGAGTTAGTGTTTAGTGGATACAGTTTCAGTTTTGCAACATGAAAAACATTCTGGGGATGGTGGTGGTGGTATTGCACAACAGTGTGAATACACTTAATGCCAGTGAGTTGTGCACTCAAAGATGGTTAAATGGCAAATTTTATGTTATATGCAAATTTGTTCCAAGCACTAAAAAACATCAAGTAGGTAAAATGCTGTACCATTTTATCAGCATTCAGTAAGTAGTAACAGCATTTACTAGGGTTAGGACATTATATTCTAAAGGTTACATGACAGTTCATCCTGTGGCTCTCCCATAGCTTATTTCTTTTTGTTGGTTTAACTTTTCAATTTATTATAATACCCTATCATTGTAATGGTGATGGAGTGAATTTTCTGCATCTGCATGTATCTTTTCCATTGTTTGTAGTTATATCTTTGAGATATATTTCCTGGATCACTTGGGGTGAATTAATCTTCTTAGCTCTTTCTACATATGCCAATGGAATTTAAATAGGGTATAGTAGTCATTTACACGCCCCCAGCCACGTGAGGGCGCCAGTTTTACAGACGCCTCATCAGCACTAGGTACACTTTTAAGAAGTTTTACAAAATATAATAAGTAAGAGATAGTGTTTCAATATGCATTTTTTTCTTTTTATCACTAAAAATGTTAGCATTTTTAGTCTTGACTTACATTTATATATTTCTGTATATTGAAAATTTACATCTTTTGCCTACTTCTAATGTAATTTCTATGCTTTTCTTACCAAATAAATTTGTCATGTTGGTAATGTAGTTGCTGTTTTTAATATTCAGAGGGTTTTAATTCATATATAGTTAAATAATTTCTTTAAACATTTCAAAACACAAAGTAATAATATTTTAAAGGAGATCAGAAGTGGTTTTACAATAACATGATTATTATACTTAATGTATCTTCTTCCTACAATTTCCTAATTATTCTTTTCAGATCTGTTAGCATTAAATCTACTTAGATGTTTAACTAACATGGCTATAGTATTTGAATTAAAATTATGTAGACTGACCAATTAATAACAAAATATTAATAACCCCAAATAAAAAGGACATTACAAACATTAGAGCAAATAAGAAATTAAAATTATTAATAAACATGACTTTTTAAATGCACTAATATTTAAATTCATTGAAAATAAAATGACAGGATATTATATTCTAGCTATAAATCAGTAATGATGTAAAACATTGTAATAGTGACTGAGACTGGCTCTCAGATATGCTTCCAGTGGGTGCGAAAATTGCCACTTTGACATTAGGTGTCAAGAAACTTAAAAACCTTTATATATATTGATTTAGAAATTATACTTTATAAATTATATAACTATGGCTTGAGACTGCCTCAGAAATGTGAAAAAATATTTACATATTTACATTCATAGGTAAATGTAAGATTCAGTGTAAGTGCCCAATGACAGGGAATGGTTGAATAAGTAATAATAGTACAGTCCTCTTTGGAGTATTACATAGTCACTATAAATGGTATTTAAAAAAAAAAATACGATGATATGGAGAAGTCCAGTATGCTGGTATGTGAGTAAAGCATGTTGCGGTGGCTACACTGAAACCGATTGTGTGCGGCGCTGTGCGTGTGCATGTGCGTATCTGGTGCACATCCAGAAAGAGATGAGAAAAAAATACACATAGTATTTATCTTATATGGTAGGAGTGTAGGTGATTTTTATTTTCTTTTTTATACTTCCACACATTTTCTAAGTTTCATATTGTTTGCAAATTATTGTTTCTATAATCAAAAATAAAAATAATGAATATATTTCTTTCCTTTTTCTGGATTCATGTCCATTTTGTTCTCTTTGCTTTGATTTATTAGACAGAATTCTGGACAAGAGGTCAGCAGGTATTTTTTTCAGGTTATGGTCCGGAAATTTGCTAGCTCTATGACCTTGTGCAAATCTAGCTTTTACGTATCTCAGTTTTTCATTTGTGAAATGGGGATTTCTACCTTCCCTGCTTACACCATAAGGCAGTTGTGAGAATTAAGGTGAGACCACCACCATATACAAAAACACTTTTGCAAACTGAGGTGCAAGTTCAAGGGATTCCTGAAACCAATGAGGTTCAGCGATTTGTTAGAGCTTCCAGAGCTCACTGAGAGCTGTTATTCTCATAGTTACAGTGTATTACAGTCAAAGGATATGGATGAAAATCAACCAAAGTAAAAGTCGCATAGGGCAGAGACCGAATGGGTCCTGGTGCAAAGCTTCTGTGTCCTCTCCCACGCAGCCAGTGTGTCATTTCCTGGCATCCGTGTGGCAGTCTGCGGAGAGTTTCGCCAGTCAGGAAGCTCATGCAAGCCTTGGTCTCCGGAGCTATTGTGGGGGCTTCATTACATAGGCGTGATTGATTGACTGATTGATTGTCCATGGAGTTGAACTCAGTCTCCAGGGAAACTTATACTGCGTTACCCAAAGCGCCGACCCTCAGTCACATGGTTGGTCTTCCCGGCATAACCAGCCCTGGCCTTACACACTGTTGGGTTGGTGTGGTCGGCCCCACCCTAAAGAAGGACATCCTTATCAGGTATGGTATAGGTTGCCTTCCAGAGGCAGGCAAAAAGCCAGGCATCTCTTTGGACAAGGCTAAATTGTTTACTACACAGAAGTGGTCGACGAGAAATGGAAAACAAATTTAAATAGAGAGATGGCGTTTGTGTGGAGGAGTCTGTTATTTAGTATGTTCTAACTCTGTAAGATAAGGAAGGGTGTGGGTTCCATAGGTGTAAGTGGTACTGCAAATACGTGCTTCACTGATCCACAGAACCTGGGAGACCCCCTTTGAGAATGGGTGCGGGTGCTGGACAGAGAGGTTTGCTACAGTAGTTGTTTACCGCAGAGACAAATTAGGCTGAGAAAGCACGTATCGCCCCACTGGGTGTATCAACCTGACCCTTGCCTCGGTGTTAACAGCACAGCAAATTCTCCCTCCGTTAACAAGTTTATCTAATGTGAACAAGTTATAAGTCTGCACTTTACAGGTTCCTCTGTCTGGCACCGTCTCACTCTGTACTACAGCCGGCTTACTGCGTATAGCATGGGGTGCAGGTAAAAATAAATTGGCTCGTTCCCCACTGCAGAGTTTCAATTCTCAAGCACTATGTCAGAGTGGATCCATAAGGTTCTATGCGGGTGAAATTGGAAAAATGAAAACCAGAGTTTGTTTTATTGTGAAATTGAAAAAAAAAAAATCAGAGCACAATGAAGTCATCATCCTCAGGAAGCCTGCAAGATGACAACTGTATGCTTTTAGGGAAGAAGACCCAGGGACAGAGACTTAGAACAAAACCATCAGCTAAAATACAATTATGCCCCCACCCTTCCTTCAGAGGGAAGAATTTTAGTCTCAGTCTGGTGAGGGTTTTTTGAAACAAATAGCTTGTCATAAATTGATGTTGTCAGTGAATTTTGGTTTTATGTTTTGTTTCTTTCAAGGAAAAACTGGCCATGCAGAAGTAGTTCGAGTGGTGTACCAGCCAGAACGCATCAGCTTCGAGGAACTGCTCAGGGTCTTCTGGGAGAATCATGACCCGACCCAAGGTAGATGAGCGAGCCAGTATTTAATTATCTTACTAATTACAGCTGGGATAATTAGTGTTTGAGCTGCATGGAAGAGATGAACCTTGAAGTCACACAGGAGCTCAAGAATATGATTGCAGACATTTATTGACGGAGATGAGGAGGGGCTGGGGAGAAAAAGGGTGAGAGAATAAAGGCACAGCCACAGTCGGTGCCCCTCCCCCCTTTACAGCTGTCGGGGGTGGGAAAATTCCCACAGAGAAAGACACCAGACAATAGAGATTCGTTCACCTTTATTATTGCATTATTCCTCCTTAATGCAGTCTTTTGTCTACAAAATTAAAGTGTCTTTCTAGCAGCTCCAAAGTTTTCTGATATATGGTCCCTTTATTTCCCTGAATTTAGCCTTTCTCATCTTTTGACGTTATCAGGTTTTGTTTTTTTTAAATGTCTGTGGATGATAAAAAAAGAAGAAGAACATAAAGGTAAAGTGCAGTATTCAGTGGATCCACAGTGCTTGCATTGTTTAAATATTTCATTTGTCTTCTGTGAAATTTGTTATATGGAGATATTAATATATTTGGGCTATAAACAATGGTGGCCAGTAATTTTATTTCAATGTACACACAAACAAAAATCCCATGTTGGCAAATATCATTGTAATATTCAATAATGGAGCAATTTCCAGATTTCATCCTAACAGCCTTGCAAGCACTGCCCTGCCAATGTGATGATCTGATATTATGAGGCTTATGAACTGAAAAGTCCTATATAATAGATGTGATTTTCACAAACCATGTTCATTTAGCAATCAGTCTATTTAACAAAAATATTTCCCTTTAGTGTCAGGTTTTTGTGTAGTGGGTATGCCGTGGTGGCTGTTTCCTGATGAATGGATGTGTTTTTCCAAATATGCATTGTGCTTTGTAGTGGAACCCTAATATGATTCAACAGCACAGGTTAGTGGGTTCTGAGTTATGGTTCTGAGAACCTGCCAGTATCAGTGATTTGCCAAGGGGCAAAGGTCAGAGCTGAGACAAGAGTAGCAAAAGGATAAATGAGCCAGGGCAAGGCAAACCCAGGATCCAGGCGAATCCACCAGGGCAGGCAAAGGCCTAGGAAGGAGGTCAGGAACAGGTTTTCCATTCTAGTGAAGTTTGGTTTGACATGGGGGATGGGACAAGTCCCTGGTGGGGGAGCAATGAGGTGTAGGATGAGGGCAATAGAGGGCTGGTAAGGTAAGTGTGCCATCAGGTGTCACTCCAGTTAGGACCACCAGACTACTGTCATAGCATATGAGAATGGCAGGCCTAATGCCTTCGACAGGTTTGGCTCAGCGGGAAGCTCTGTCTAGTGAGCACCATAAAGGTGACGGCTAGGAGCTCAGGCTGGTAAGCCTTTGACCCAGATGGAGCGGGTTCCTCTCGAAGCCAAGGGCCGGGCAGGATGCTGAGAGCTTCCAAATTCTCAAGGGAGACACCCTTGAGAGCAGGAGCTGAGGTAAGTCTGCAGTCATGTAGGAGACGGGCTCCCCACAGGTCCACAAGGCTGGATATCGGCCCTTTGGTCATGCCAACCATAATGACATGTTCGATAGAAGCACCTTATGCCAAGCCCAGGTAAAATTTTGGAAAGGGTGAAGTAGGTCTGTCATCTACTTTTCTCTCCTTACTTCTCTTAACTTCTTACCCGTTTTATCATATTTTTACCAGTACACCTCAGTTAACTAGATCACTAGTACTGGCCCCTGAATCTCAAGGGGGAATTCTACCTTAAAAAAGAACCATAAACAAACTGCATGGTCTTTCATTCTGCATATTGTATGTGTCTCAACTGTGCCTTAGTCCTTTTTGAAATTCTTGATTTACTCTCTGTGTTAATTTGTTATGGCTGCAATAACAGAAAATCTAAGACAGGTTGGTTTAAACAACAGAAACTTATTTTCTCACAGTTCTGGAAGCTGGAAGTCAGAGATGAAGGTATTAGCGGGGTTAGTTTTACCGTGGCTTGTAGATGACTGTCTTTTTCTCTTTGTCTTCATATGATCTCTCTGTGTGCACCTGTGTTCTAACCTCCTCTTATAACAGCACCACTCAGATGGAATTAGGGCGCACCCAAATGACCTCATGCAGTCTTAATCTTAAAATACTCTATCTCTAAATGAGCTTACATTGTGAGGTACTGGAGGTTAGGGCTTCAAATCATCAATTTGGGTAGTATAGAGACACAATTTAGCTCATAACATTGTCCAATCATATATGAGGTTGGTGTACTATTTTCCCAGAGGTATTTTTATTCTAATTAGGGGTTCATAGACTGGGAAAGGCTTTGGAGGTCATCTGATTAAACTTTAGCTTCAAATCTATAAGCCAAAACATGAAGTTGTTAATGATGGGATTTAGGGGTGATGGAGTTGTTAATGATGGGATTTAGGAGTGATGGGATTTCATTGTTGAGGGACATTTTTTATACTGATATTTGGATAAATTACACATGTAGGAGAGTTTCTCAGCCCTTGCATATATATATATTTGTTCCTGCTTAGAATAGTGCTTGATGCAATATACAATATACACAGATACGCATATTAAATCACATATTTGGTCTTCACCTAAGTAATTATTATAATTACTTTTTTGAACAGTTCAGTGTGATGGGCCATGGTAACAATCCTTATCTGCCTGCAAGGTTTCCCATGAGCCTTCTGGGGAAAAAAAGGTCAAATGAGCAATCCCATGACCCAGGCCTGGCCAATCACAGTATCTTGTCCTGTTGTCAGCAGGGTTTGATCCAAAGAACAGACATGTGACTCAAGCAGAACTAGTTAAGAGTCCTTCCCTAGGGCTCTTGTGTGAGAGAAAAAAGCGATCTCACTTTTCCGGGGATTCCAAAGTGATGGGGCACAGTAGGTGGACAGAGTCTGCCCACAGGAGAAGCAAAGGAGGAAGATGAGCGGAGACACTGAGAGAGGAGTAGTGGGAAGAGAGAAGCTTCAGGTGACTGTGGGACCCTGAGACTTCATGTTTCTACAGCTCTTCCTTCAGTCTTGGACCTTTTTTTTGTAGCATTCCAAGCAATGAGAGCTACTAGGTATCCTCTTTTTTTTTTTTAACTTAAGCTAGTTTGTTGCATTTCTTTTATTTGCAATAACAAAAACCCTGTATAATTCCCTTATTCAGCTTAATCATTGTGCTCATTATACTCAGTAACTGTTAGTTTACCACATTCATTTGGCTCTACAAATCAGGTTTAAAGCCATCTGGTTAGCAGTTTTACCGTTGACTCAGACATGGAATGGAGAACACTAAAAATTGTTTCTGGAAGACTGACTGGGGGTTTGATTAAGGGATTTCACGGTAATGTAGAATTAAGAATTGGGCCCTGACTGGTGTGGCTCAGTGGACTGGGTGCCAGCCTGTGAAACAAGGGGTCGCTGGTTCAATTCCCAGTCTAGGACACCTGCCTGGGTTGTGGGCCAGGTTCCTGGTGTGGGGCGCACAAGAGGCAGCCATACATTGATGTTTCTCTCCCTCTCTTTCTCCCTCCCTTCCCTTCTAAAAATAAATAAATAAAATCTTTAAAAAAATTGGGTTTAAGATTTGAGATATATGGCCTGAGAATATATTATAATCCATATCCCCTGTCAATATTTCTAAATTACTGTGAAAGACATTCATTAGTGACATGTATCTTGTTTCTGCTCTGTTAGCCAGGTACTCTGCTAAGTGGTGCTAAATCACTGAGAGGTCTGGAATAAGCAGCATTATCCAGCCTCTTGGTTAATGCACAGGGAAACCATATTCCTATCAGAAGAAAATAGTTTAATTCCAACATACGGAGATCCAATGAGCATTCAGATAAATGTGTGTAAGACCAAAATCCAAAATATTAACCTGAAATCTTTAAAACAAGTATATGTTAAAAGTGGAACCTTAAAAATAAAAAGCATAAGCCCAGAAGAACTCTGGTATCAATAGATTCATCATTCCCAGGGAGCCCTAAAGTTCTAAAACACGTCATCACCTGTACTGTTTCTGAGGCAAGAATTTGAAGCTCGCTCCCTGAATGATGGGGCATGCAGCCGGAGATAGCTGGACTGCACGTGAACTTGGCCATTGGACCACAGCTTCTCGATGCGCTATTTAAAGGCACATGATGACTCTTGTGTTTCCCAGTGAAAGGTGGCCCAGAAAAGAAAAGCACCCAATTGAGCAGAAGCGGTACATAGAGGCATGTAAGACGGGTTGCTCTTACTCAGAAAATGGACATTTCAGAAGACAGCAAGCCCCTTGTTGGGTTTGGTAGACCCTGGTCTGTGAAGCAATAGCCCATTCTACATTCTTTTTCAGAAACAAGAGTGATTCCTAAACTGCTTGAGGAATGCTCTTGCCTATACAAGAATTGTGTCATCAGAAAGACACAACTTAAGTAAAAGGTGAGAAGGTATTGACCTTTGATGTAAAGATATGCCCAGGAAACCCATGATTCTCCACAGAAATATGACTCAAGAGAAATGTATTTTAATGAGCATGTTGAAAGACTTTAGTACCTTGTTTATAAAATCATAAGGGATTTGAAGGGGCCACTTAAATTTTTTAGTTATAATTTACTTCATTTTGGGGAGGAGAAGCAGTCTCCTGGAATGACATTTGCAGATATGGGATCCTTGCTAATGTCAAGTGTCTACTGTAGAAGAAACAGCAAGAATTTAAGCTTAATTAAAGTCTGCTTTATTAAATCAGATCTTCATGGCATAGACTAGACAGAGAATATCCTGCATGTTTTCACTGCTTCAAGGTGCTGAAGGTAGCTCTCATGGTATCTGTCCTGATGGGAAGAAGGAAGCCTCCACGGTCTGCCCTTCTGCAGGGAGCAAAGCTGATGGGAGAGCTATGAGAAAAGTGCAGGCTTTTAAAGATAGAGGGTAGGTCCAGAGATGTCTTATTGCACAGCCAGTGTGCAGTGAGTTCTGAGGGAGTGCCACTCGGTGGATCAGTGCCTTGTAAAGTAACAGGCCTAAT